CTCATCGGTCGAGGTGCCTGTTCTCACCGGTCCTGGGTACCTGTTCTCACCGGTCCCGGGTGCCTGTTCTCACCGGTCCCGGTTGCCATTTCTCACCGATACCGGGTGCCGGGCGTCTTTGGAATTGACGCCTCATCTAGTGACGTTCTGAATGATCATGGGATTATTCATTAACTGGCACCATCGTTCATTCATTGGTGTCGTAATATCACACGCCGGTGGCCGTTTCCGGCGTAACTAACAGACAGCGATTCCATTCAGCCAGTGGTATCGGTCGGTCTAGTGTGTTATGTACGCGCTGAAAATGGAATACATGTTGCAGTGGTGAAGGCTCCTTTCAGCACCAGTGCAACTGCGTAATGTTTTGAAATGCACGCGCCATCATTACTTTGTTGCCACTCGTCTAAACGAAAATTAAACTCGGAGTTTCATTAATCATGGCACGCAGCGCGGAGCAGGCCCTGTGGGATTGTGGCATGATTGGGGGTTTTGATATCAGTGCATATAAGCTTAAGGCAGGGTTACGCCTTCGGAGGCGCATCGCAGGTCACGGTAGAGTTCCCGAGGCCTCACCCCTCGTTAAGGGGGGTGCCAACTAGGCCTCCACCACGGCAAATGGTCTCATCACTCACAGGTCTACCCCGTACTTAAACCATTTGGTCGCGGAGCAGGACTCCATTCGTCAGGGCCATATGCGAGTGTGGCATGGACCCGGCTGCGTGCCGGCATGCAACAGACCACACATGCGTCACGGCACGCATGCGATGGTAGGCGCCGTCCTCCCGGACTGGGTCTGGGCCGCGTCCGGGGCGGAGCTCTCGTCAGCGCGGTGCCATTTCTCCCGCGCGGAGGTGCTGTGCCGAGTTGTGGTTAAATAGCCCGTCATCGTCAGCCGTTATCGGCGAGCTTCCCCACCATTTCCGCCGAAATAACCGGCCCCGAGGAATCAATACACCACGGAGGCTTGCGGCGTGATTTAGAGCGCGCTTGCATGGGATGGCCCGTCTGAGTTTTACCCGAGCGGAAAGGAGCGAGGTCGGGCAGGGGGAAACAAAGCGGCGTCCCGGGGGCGGCGCTGCCTAACGACGTGTCCCCGAGTGAGGGGCTGGACGCACCAAACAGGTCGCATGCTTAAGCAACATTTATCGGTCACAGTCGTTAGCGACAGAGCATGGAGGGCGCGAAGCCCGCCTTTGACGGTTTTGATATTTAGCCCGAACGCTTAGGCTGGATATATTTCTGGAAATAGCGCCCACGCCAAACGGCGCTTATTGCGCGAATCCTGAGCCCGCCATCCGACTGTGAAAATCCGGTCAACGGAAGATTTTTGCGTCGAAAACTCAGCGTGCCGCAATCCTCGGTGCGGTCCTTTCTATGGTCCTTGGTCCGACGCACTATGGCCAACAAGTTATGCACCCTATAGTTAAGGGAGTTAAAACTATAAAGAGCAGATGCATCACAATTAATTCCGTCGAATCAAATGATGGAGACATGCCAAAGATATCTGCAATGAAAAAACGCGTGCACCGCATTGTCATCTACTGCCTACGCATACCACTAACGGCACGGATTCTAAGCGACGCATCAAATGTTCCAGTAACGAGGAGTACCTCACATTCCCCCATTTTACCTGGCGGGAAATAATCAAGCGTGGCACCTGCAGACACAAATGATGATCCGCGCTATAGCCGTCAGACAAAGGCCGGGACCGTCCGCTGACTGTCCGCCTGTCACCCCCACTATCGCGGGCTCGGTTTCACAATTGATGACGCCCGCAAATGCTTCGTGTGAAACGCGGCCACAAAATGAAATATGCGACCAAATCAGCCCACAGTTTCCCAGCGCAGAGATCACGGAGCGTGTGGAAACGAAGCAGATCAGTGTAAGCTGCAGTCGGATGCAACTAACACGTCAATGGCGGCCCGCGGGGCGTGACGCAAGAGCGTCATGAGAAAGCAGACCCGCACGGGTCCGGCGCCTCTGGCCGAGGCCGGACTCGGACGACGTCGGCTCAGTTCTCCGTTCGCTGGAGCACAACTACGAAGCACCGGAGCACGGCCGCGCGTCCGACCAGCTGGGGACACATGGGCCGCGGAGACGCACGCAGACTCACTCGACTCGACTCGACGACAGGACGACTCGACTCAACTCGACTCGACGACATGACGACTCGACTCGGAGACGCACGGACGCAGTCGGCTGGACGGGCACTCAAGCGCCAGGGGCTCGGCTTCCGTGGGAAACAGCACGCTTGCCAGGGATGGTTCGGCTCGCAGGAACACGCACACGGTCGACCCACCGGGGACGTACTCGACGCACTCGATGGTGAGTACACATGAGGCTGACTGGTGAACTAACACACCCGCATCACCACGGACACACCCGGCCCACCACGGACACACTCGGCCTGCAACGGACACACCCGGCCCCACCACGGGCACACACGGCCCATCACGGTCACACCCGCACCACCACGGACACACTCGGCCTACCACGGACACACCCGATCCACCACGGACACACCCGGCCCACCACGGGCACACTCGGCCCACTACGGACACACTCAGCCCATCACGGGCACACCCGGCCCACCATGGCCACACTTGGCCCACCGCGGGCAACTCAGCCCACCACGGACACACTCGACCCACCACGGACACGCGAAGCCCACCACGGACACACGAAGCCCATCATGGGCACATTAGATCGCTGAATGGGTGGACGATCGACTAACAGCGACTCAGTCAGCTCGGGCGCGCCAAAACCCGAGGGAACGCGCCAGGTGGGGCGTCTGCAGTGCCGGGCGGGACCCCGCTAAAATCGCCGCACGTCGCTCCGGACTAACTCACAGCGAAGTCGGCGCGACCGGACCGGTGCCGCGCATTGGCCGACTCGGCCCGGTATCATGAATAGCTAATGCGGGGGTTGTCGTGTTGTGCTGATCTGCAGTCGTGGCATGTCGCATTGATTTATTGATGTGGAATGTGAAGGAAATGAGTCGTAATGATAGGACGGCCGGTGGCAGCCCCGCAGGGTCGCTGTCGGCTGCTGCCGGCGAGCGCACGTGCCACTTAGTCTCAGAGGCAGTCGTTAAGTCACGCAAGGGACTGTACTTCCAGTCAGTCACTACGCAGTTGACAAACACCGTCTTCCGTATGCAAGCGTTGTTTGCGAAGACATTGTGATGACATTGCTTACTATCGTATGGGTACCAATCACTTCATCGAGCCTTGACAGATTCTTTGTTTTGGTCCACATGCCAGGTCAGGGCAAAAAACCATGGCACGCAATTGATTTTTGGTTGGCACCTCGTACGTTGTAAATGCCGCCGACCAAGCTACTTGAACTCACTGGACTTTAGAAGAGGTGGCGTCATATTGGAAATAAGTGACATCCTTGGGAAAATGTTAAGTGTGATGGCTATTCGCTGCCATGAAATACACAGAGGGCCGGTACGTCATCTTCATGGAGATTAAATGCTTCACACGAATTAGGTGTGCCGACAAAGGTATTTCGAGTAAAGTTTATAGGATGTTGAGACACTTCAAGGGTGGAGTGTATAAGCGACTTCTTATGAGATATACAATAGTTCAATACAACTTTTGTAACATAAACCTTCAAAGCACTTAGCGACTCTGTTTTTAGACCGCATTTGGGTAAATTTGAATTCACAAATTCAAATTTAACTTCGTGTGTGAACCGTCAGGGGCATCCATTCTCGTGCAGATTTGAGAAAAACGAATTCGTCCACCTACAGCAAGGGTAGCGCATCAACAGTTCAAAACTGTTCAAAAACGTGTTCTCACATTCAGGCAGTTCCGTAGACAGAAACTCTTGCAAATCTACTTGCATAATTTGAACACCGTTCCCATGCGCGCTGGGAAATCAAACGAAGTGCAGCTGCGAATTTTGCCTTCAGCATACGCCGGGGAGGTGAATATACGGCAGTGCCATGGTTCCAGCTGTGCAGCGTTGGGTACAACGTGTTGCGGCCGAATCAAGGGTGCGAATGTGCCAATACCCCGGCTGTTTGCCATTTGCTTGGGCTGAAAACATAACTCAAGATTGATAGTTGTTGCTCGTTTTCGACAAAGATACATGGAAAACGTCGGCTTTGCCCAATACCGATCAACATGAACATACCCATCAACGGACTGGGCCTACCCCGCACAAAAATAAAGTTTTAGCCAAGCATGCAGCAAGTTGCAGCGTGCTCACCTGCTAAATATGCAATGTTCCGTTTTGCTGGCATTTTCTATTCATTCTGTAGCATTTTTGCAAGCTTTGGCAACACACACACACACACACACACACACACACACACACACAACACACAACCCACACACACACACACACACACACACACACACACACACACACACACACACACATACAACCACATATATATATATATATATATATATATATATATATTGTATATGACCCTTCCGTAACGTTATTCTGGATTTACAGGGGTTGATGACATTGCGAGGCCTACATTTCTACTGGCGCTCAGGAAAGCAGACTTGGACGCCTTTTAGTAGGCTTCGTCGCTTTCAAAACCTGGGCGAGGAGCTGTGCCCAATAATTCAGTAGTCTAAAGGATGCACAGAGGGTGCGCATTTCCAGTAGCACAGCCAGTTCCGGCACCCCATCGCTGACCGGCCACTCACAGTCGAAGGATTGCTGACCATACATCTCCTCGTTGGATGGATGTTCCGCTGCGCGCGCGCGCACGGCGGCACTACTCTCATCGACGCTCCCTGCCGGCAGGGTCGCCGGGCGAGGCTGGCGTGCCGCCGGCATTGATGACCGCGCCGCCTGGCGTTGCAGCACGGCGCCCGCGGGAGTCGCCATGAGCACGAGCCCCGTGCGCCATGGCCGGCCATCGCCCGACTCCGCGCGCCCCCGCCGGCGCCGCGCCGCCGCTCTGGCTGCCGCTGTGCGTGCTGCTGTGCCTGCCGCCGGGCGGCGGCGGCTGCCCGGGGCACGTCTGCGAGTGCAAGTGGCGTGACGGCAAGGAGGCGGCGCTGTGTGTCAACGCGTCGCTGGTGGAGGTGCCGTCCGGGCTCGACGCCGGCACGCAGGTGCTCCGGCTGGACGGCAACCGGCTGCAGGTGCTGACGGCGGACACGTTCAGCCGCCGGGGTCTGCTCCACCTGCAGCGGCTCTCGCTGGCCGCCTGCCGGCTCGGCCACATCGACCAGCGCGCCTTCGCCGGCCTGGCGAACCTGGTGCAGCTGGACTTGAGCCGCAACCTGCTGCTGCTGGTGCCGTCCGACTCGCTGAAGCGGCTGGTCGGCCTGCGCGAGCTGCGGCTAGGCAACAACTTGATCACGCGCCTGGCGGCTGACGCGTTCTCCGGCCTGGCCGAGCTGGAGCGGCTGGAGCTGAACGGCTGCCAGCTGGCCACCGTGCACGCGGACGCGTTCGTCGGTCTCGGCCGGCTCCAGTGGCTACGGCTGGACAACAACCGGCTCACCACGCTGCCTGCTGACAGCCTGACGCCGCTGGCGAGCGTGCGCGAGCTCCACCTGCACGGCAACGCGTGGTCGTGCGACTGCCGGGTGCGGCCGCTGAAGCGCTGGCTGGAGAGGACGCGACCCTCGCACGCCGAGGAGCCGCGCTGCGCCGAGCCGCTGCGGCTGCGGGACGCGCCGTTCGGCACCGTCCGGCTGGGCCAGTTCTCGTGTCCGCCGGTCATCCGACAGGGCGCGCGCCGCCACCAGGCCTGGGCCGGCGACAACGTGACGCTTTCGTGCTCGGTAAGCGCCTCGCCGGCAGCCGACGTCAGCTGGCTGTGGCGCGGCCGCGTCATCGCCAACGGCTCGGCCATGCGCCCGGCCGGCACGAGCTTCCACGTGTTTCACCACGGCCGCGAGGAGAAAAACCAGCATGCTGACCATCCAGGCGGTGCGCGCCGCCGCCGCCGGCCGCTACATCTGCGAGGCGCGCAACTCGGCAGGCCGCGTCACGCGGCCCGTCACGGTCAGCGTGACGGAACGGGAGGGCGTTACGCACCTGACGCTGAAGCTGGACCGCGGCCTGCTGCTGGGCGCGCTCGTCGTCGGCCTGCTGCTCAGTCTGGCCGTCTGTATTTGCGTGTGTCTGTTGTGCACGCGGGCGCGTCGACCGCCGACGCCTGCCAGGCCGCCTGCGGCGCCGCCAGAGTCCGCCACAAGCCCGGCGGCGGCGGGCGGCTGGCAAACGGCGGCCCGCCGGCGCCCGGTCGGGTGCCGAGCCTGCCCCGACCGGCGACGGCGACGGCGACGGCGGCGGCGGCGACGGCGACGCGGGTGCGGCCAACGGGCACGACCCAGCGTCCGCCGCCGCCGGCGCAGGACGCCGTGCGGCCGGCGGCGGCCCGGCCAGAGCCGGCCCGGCCGGGCGGCGTCCGGCCCCGGCCCGGCGGCCCACTGGGGCCTGCCGGGCGATCGATGGCCGCCGGCAGGTTGTACGGCTCCGGAGGAGGCCGGCCCGCGGCCGGCGCGGCCCCGCGCCGTCACCACCGGCGGCAGCCTTCGCGGCGGCTCCGGCGGCCGGGCTGCGCGGCCCGAGTGGGCAGAGGAGCGCAGCGCCGTCGGCGGCTACTGCACGCTGCCGCGACGCGGCCCGCCGTCGGCGGCGCGGCGCTCGCCGCCCTTCTCCGACCGGTCCGAGTCCACCTGCAGCCCGCCGAGTCCGGTCGGGCGGCACCGCGGCTGCGACGCCGAGCCGGTCGCGCGGCCGGAGTCGGCGGCGGCGGCGGTGCCGCGCTGCCGGCCGCGCTACCCGAGCTTGCCGAGCTCGCCCGTGCCCGCCGACGCGGACGACTGCGGCGGCTACACGTCCGACCAGTGCGTCCGCCACAACCCGTACACGTACCACGCGGTGCAGCTGGATCGCTACCTGCTCGAGTACCGCTCGCTGCAGGACCAGCTGGCCGCCATGCAGCGCAGCTGCCACAACCTGTCGACGGACCGGCGGCGCAGCCAGCAGGGCGTCAGTCTGCAGCGACGCAGCCTGCCGTCGGTCACCATCGCGGACGAGGAGCCCGCCGCGCCGCCGTCGCCACCTCCGTCGCCGCCGCCGCCGCCGCGGCCAGCCGTCCGCCAGCTCAAGCCCATCTTGAAAAGTCACGAGCACGTGACTGGCACGGCTCAGGCGCCGGTGGTGCGCAGAGCGCCGTACTTCGCGGCCACCGACACGTATTTTTCTTACAGCGAGAGCTAGCCGGCTGGAGGCCGGGCGCCTCCTCCTGGGACGAGCGTCGTTTGTTCTGAGGCTTCCAGAGGCTTCCACCCCCTGTCGCCGGGAAGGAAAACAGTGGAAGTGCCGCGCGGCGCGAGCGACCGGCCTCGCTGGGGCTGAATGTTACGGGGCGTCGGAGACGTCGGAGTCGGATTGGGCGTATGCAAACGTGGGGTTTGATTCATCTGAAGGCCTGCTGCGATGGTTACTGGAATTGTGTCGTGTTTGAAGGCGAAAACGTGCGGATTTATCCATACTGGCGATGTGACGGCCGGAGGTAGCAGACATTCTGATCGATGACAGGCTGCGTGACCATTATTGTGTTGGCAGGTGCGCGTGTTATAGCATACGCATGTTGTTATGTGATGATGTAATCAATATTGGATGTTTTCATCTTGGCAAATAATCACCTGCCCCAGAAACGCCTTTTACCACTGTGGTCGACGTCTAGTTACGTTTATTTCCGCCCCGGTTTTCAGGAATCAACCAGAAATGACAGGCCCGGACTGCAGTAGATTGAGAGAAACTTGTTTGTCTAGAGCCAAAGGGAAAATGTTGCATTGGACGGCCGGCGTTTTAGTCTTGGACCATCATCACGAGTGATTGGATGGGGGTAATTTTGAATGATGATCGTCAGTCAGGACCATCATTCCTACTGATGGATCCGCGCTGCAGCGCGATATATGAAACCCGTAGCTGATATGAAACCTTGCCAATTAAGTATATCAAGGCCGCCTTGTGGCTGGCCGGCTAGTCGGCTAGCCGCCGATCCCGCTGGCCGTCTAGCCGCCGATCTGGCCAGCCGACTAGCCGCCGATCTGGCTAGCTATCTCGCGGAGAGGCACTGTTAAGAAATACATAGAGACATAAATATATCACCGAGTTTCTTCCTTTTTTAATCACACAAGAATACACGGCAGTTGCATCTGAAGACCTCGGGCAATATTTCTAAGTTTTTGGTGGTTAATTCGTGACATTTAACATAAATTTATCAGACTTTACAGAGTACAGCAGTCCTGGAGCGTATGTCTGTGTAGACAGTATGTTTATCGTGAATTTAAGATCTTAACTGTAATTAGCGGCGAGTTTTGTAAGCCAGCTTAACGATCGGCCAAACCATGCTAAATAGATAACTATTTGACCTAAGTAACCCTCTGCCTGCCGCACTGTCCGAAAACTAAGAAATTTACCAAGGTGTGCCTGACGTGTGGCGGCTATTTACGATAAGTTTGGAAATCTGTTTTGCTCTTGTGATGTTGAAATCAATTAATATTTGTCCAAATTTACTTAAAAATAGGAGTACGTGAAACACCGCGTACCCGCACGTAAAACTATGGTTAAATTGCGATATTTAGGCACACAAGCTAAAGAGGAGGTCATTTGACTTGATCTTTATTCTAAGGTATTGATAAGACGGACGTGCCGGTCAACCTAAGGTGCTTTTTACTCTATGACGTCATGCGATACAGACCAGAGTGCGCGGGTTCCTACCTTCGCTAATAAAACTAGTGTCTGGTCACAAAATCGGCAATCCGGCTAGCCGCTGACTCGAAAACCAGCTTGCCAGAGCCACCCTGGGATGCATGTCTTTATCATCAAATTTATCTCGCAAGTGTAGGACTCTCGAAGTATCTATTAAACAAGAGTACAAAAACTGCTAGCTGCTTTTTTAATGAATGACGGTGGAACGTGTGTCCAGCTTTTGAGTAGAGACAGTTCAAGTCATCCTGTCATTCCTTCTATCAAAATCGCAACGCTGTTGTTTTTCATCGCCATTTAAGCTCTACATGAAGGAGATAAGATACGCAAACTCTACCAGTTAAACGCATTTTCCTCCGTCATGAGGTGAGATGATATTCGAATGAAACACGTATCGCGCACTCCGTGGCAGTAAGAGGACTCCATGTCGTGTTATGCGGATGCCTTGTTACCCATCATTAAATACAATACAAGTGTACGTTACTAGTGCCCACAAAGTCCCGTGTTACCAGCTCAGGCGATGTTTCGGTACCACTGGTACCGATTCTATACTGGCTGCCGATTCCGTGGTATCGTGAACGATACCGCATGGCACATCTCGCTTCTGAAATGACGGCGAGTACGATCACGATAATGAATTTTTCCAAAATGCGGCAGAATGGCGATTCTGCGCATTTATGCCAGTGGTGTTCAACTAACTCAGCAAATGCGTTTACTTAAAAATATCCTTCCTAAACTACGTAAGTTGTTGAGTGCATTTGCGAGGAACATCATGCATATAGGTAAGACAGTTGCTATCGTCATATTCCTCAAAGAAAAACCAGGTGAATGGAGAGCTAGATGCGGCTGGATTTCGGCAACATGCAGCCATTCAAATGAATAACAATGATGTAGCAGTATGTCGCCGAAATATCAACGCATATATCTCTCGATTCTCCTGGTTTTCCACTAGGAAAAGGGCTATTACCACAGTCTTATCTCCTTCCTCGATATAAATTTACGGCTCTTGTGTTGGCAGAACTCATCTCGCATATCAAGCTGCGGTGCACGGTGCGCCGTGTCAGGCGCGGTGCGTGCTCGAGGTGCCTTAAATGCTAATGCATCTTTTCAGGAGCCGCAGACGCGCCACTTACGACGCCTTTCAGTGCTGCTTTCCCACGACGGAACGCAGGCGGCGTCGGCACACGTCACGTCGGACGCATTGCTGGAATTTTTCAGAAACCGGAGAGCGTTTCCGAATGGCGATGCAGCTTGGGCCGACGTTCAGCGGCGGGGACGCGTGAATCAAGCATGGGCGGCCACGCAGTGAGTATGCCTTCCACCAGAGGACGTGGCCTGAACACCCAGTTGTGTAGACACGGCCGGCTAATAAAACACGAGCAGACATTTCGTCGTGGACCGGTCGGGAGCGCGCGTCACTGGCATCAGTTATTAGTCAGTCGGCAACTACAGCGATCCCACTCCATCACAGCCATCACTGCATGGCACCACTCCCGCATCACGAGCATCACTGCATCTCACTCACAGCCCCGCCCCGGCTCCGTCAAAAGCTCGCTTTCCGTGCGATGCCGATACCACCCAAGAACAGTCAAGAACAGCCAAGAAGATGCCGCGTCCCCGCGTCCCGTGCGGCTCTGATGCCCGGTGCGACTCGCCATCGTCCCGCTATCTCTCGGCCGTGCCCACTGTCTACCCCTGCTGACGATGGCGGCCTGCTGCGAGTAACGAGACAGCCACCCGCTATTGGCGCCGACTCCGATGGCGATGGCCGCATCCAGGGAGGCCGAGACCGCAGGCGGGCGACGGCCCGTATATCGATCCGGCGTCGAAAAGGCACACGGCACACGTGCAGCACGTGGCGCCAGACCAGGAGTCGTTTCGTTGGGCTGCTTTGAGTTTCGTGCTCGTGTAACAAATACGTTATTAATACCACGTGTCCCTGTTGCGAATAGCAAAGAGCGTTGCTATGTGTTCCGTTTAGGTGCAGCACCCAAATCGCCCAATCATACCACACTAATTGACGGCATAATTAAGAAATAAATGCATTCACAGCTCGTTGATTGCTCCTTTTGGCCTCGTACGCCCTAACTTTGCAGCGTGACGGAAGAGCAATCCAGCCATCAACAAAGCATTAGCCCACATAAATTTGGAGCAACGGACATCTGTATGTGTTATGCCTGCACTGCTTTCACTGCGGGCTTTCCTTGCGACGTTCGGGAAAGCGTACCTGAGTCCGTGCTTGCGGTCGTAATTCATTTGTTTCTGGAAGCACGTCTTACTGTCTTTCTGTCCGTCCGTCTGTTTGCCCGCATTTCTGTAGCCAGACGCACAGCACAGGCGCCTGCATGAAACGCCGTTAAATTGCGCGTAGGTGTTTTATGTGAATGATGAACATCCCATGAGAGGGCAACGACGCAGTCGGTGGTAAGCAAAGCGGGCCGAGCGACGCCAGTCATATGATGTCACAATTGTTACCATGGGTCATTATTACTATGGGTGGTAATTAACATGGGCGATTGTTACTGTGGGCGACCTTTGGGCGCCTATCTCTCGCACCATCACTTAAGTTTGGTGCCACCGCCGATACTGGCACAGCGCCCTCATTGCTTTACGGATGAGTGCTGAACTCGAGCCGGCAAGGTTTGGCCGCGCGCTGCAGTACCGGTACCGCGGCTTGCGAGATACTGACTGCAGCCGGGCACGCCTGGTGTTGACGCACTCCCTGATGTGCCAGGCAAGGTATAGCTGCAGCACCACTGGTGCCGACGTACTCCTAGATGCATCGGCCAAGGCGCAGTTCCAATACCACTGATGCCGACGTACTACCCGCTGTACTGGCCCAGGCACCGCTTCAGTACCACTGGTGCCGACGTACTCCTCGCTGCACCGGTTTAGGCACAGCTCCAATACCACTGATGCCGACGCTCTCTCCACTGAACCAGCCTAGGTACAGACCCGGAACCACTGATACCGGCATGTTCCCCGCTGTACCAGCCTAGGCACTGCCCCGGTAACACTGGTGCCGACGGGGCTATTGGATGCGCTCTCCAGCCCACGGATATGCTGCATGTTTATTTTAGGGCCATCCGCATTTTGTTTTTAACGCGCAAGATGCAAACTGGGTGCTGAAATGAGCTGGTCAAAACTAGTGCCAATGCCAGGGACATAACCAGCCAAGTGTATTGAGCTTCTTATGGCTGTGTGTAGAGACATTTTATAAATGCCACCCTGTCCTGGTTAAGGGCATCGAAGCGTGCACATTGAAAAGTTATATGCTGGAAAAATATAAGTGCGCCAAAGTCAGTCAATGCAACAGCAAGTGCTCAAGCCGTGTGGAACTTCCAAATTGTGCATGACGCGCGTGTGTGATTGTGGCGCTCAATCTGTGAGTATCGAGCACGAAATTTGAGAGCCACACATGCTTTCTCACTCATTCCTGCGTTACCCGGTACACACATTTGAAACCCACACGGCGTTACTTAACGCTGTTCCGAATCCGGCGT